AGAGAAAACATAACCTATAAAAGGAATGCGCGGGAATATTCAAACTATAACATTTTAATAATTAATTTTATCGCATATAATCGATATATTGCATATTGTAATTATGCTTATAATAATTTTAAACAGATGCAGGATTGTTGATGCTATCTGTGATAAGTAAACTAATTGAGTTACATGTTTCCAGGGATGATTTATGTCGTTTATATCTATGACCGTTAACAGTAAACATTCTTTCAAACGGTTATAGTAAACAGAATAATTTCAACGATTAAAGCATTTAATTATAATTTACGTTGATTCCTTAAAAGAATTTATAATCAAAGTCTGTTGCCAATTATGAAGAAATTTTGATACCATTCAATACCATGACAAATAATGCGGTAGGAGTATGCGCGAAAGTTGATCACTCTGTGCGTACGCAAGTTAAACATGTTTGTTTATAGTTGATATTTGTCCCGATAACATTAAACATGATGGATTACGAATTTAAAATGAAAACTCAGAAAGATCGAACGAAGGTTGAAGATCTTTTCGAGTTCGAAGGGTGTAAAGTTGGAAGAGGGACCTATGGACACGTCTATAAAGCTCGTAGGAAGGAAGGGTTAGTGTTTCTAACCTACGCAGGGATCGCGTAGCATTTTCTCTTTTAATGTCTTCTTTCACCGAAGAAATGGTCGCAAACTACGTTTCATCGTTGGACAATTGTACATTCTACTGGAATTTTTGCCCAAAATGTTTTACTGAAATGTTTTTATAGTTTCAAACTCTCTTCACATTGTTGCTACTTGTGTTGTAATTGCCATTTGTCTGTAAAAAATAGTAGTAACTCATTGTATCCTATTATGGATGTAACATAGTATCAACTATTGTATTCAGTGTAGTGTATATTAAATAGTATAATTTATTGATGAATGAAGTTTTTCTATTTCACTGTTTTCAAATTTTAATAGTGTACCAGATAGTGAATTAAAATCTAGGCCAGATACTAAGGATTTTGGCCTGAAACAAATTGAAGGTACAGGTCTTTCAATGTCTGCGTGTCGTGAAATTGCAGTAAGTATATATTTATCTTCTTTAATGCAGAAATTATGCATATGTTTTGATTGATTCTGTTTTGCAGTTACTTAGGGAACTAAAACATGTTAATGTGATTACTTTAATTAGAGTTTTCTTGTCTCATAATGATCGCAAAGTATGGTTATTGTTTGATTTTGCGGAACACGACTTATGGGTATGTTTATATTGATCAGATTGATCTTCTAGGTATGTCATTTATTCTTGTAGGTTATATAGAAGAATATTAATAATTCTGTTTTTTTATATAGCACATAATAAAATTTCATAGAGCAGCAAAAGCTAATAAAAAACCTGTTATGGTGCCAAAGGGTATGGTAAAGTCCTTATTGTATCAGATTCTTGATGGTATTCATTATCTACATTCCAACTGGGTGCTTCATAGGGATTTGGTAATTATTATTTCATACAGGTATCGTACACATTAGTCATATACAATTAACAAAAATGTTTGTCATATTTTAGAAACCAGCAAACATTTTAGTAATGGGAGAAGGAAATGAGAGAGGTCGTGTAAAAATTGCAGATATGGGTTTTGCTAGATTATTTAATGCTCCTTTGAAGCCTCTTGCAGATTTAGATCCAGTTGTAGTAACCTTTTGGTATAGAGCACCGGAGTTACTTTTAGGTGCTAGACATTACACAAAAGCTATAGGTATAAAACTATAATTATAAAATACAGTTACTTTAATCTTACATTGTCTCTTTATGTTCTTTCTTTTATCCTTCAGACATCTGGGCTATCGGTTGTATATTCGCGGAACTATTAACATCTGAACCCATATTTCATTGTAGACAGGAAGATATTAAAACTAGTAATCCGTATCATCATGATCAATTGGATAGGTATTAACATTATTACCATAAGGTTTTCTATATGTAATTTAATTAGAAAATGATAAAAGATTGAAATTATTTAATGTCCAGGATATTCAATGTGATGGGATTTCCCTTAGAAAAGGATTGGGAGGATATTAAGAAAATGCCCGAACATCCCACGTTATTAAAAGATTTTAAAAGATCAAAGTAAGTATTCGTATAAAAATAAAGTTATAAAAAAATTCTAACGCAAATTTGATAACGGTGTTTGTCTTACCGCAGTTACGCAAACTGTTCTCTCACAAAATATATGGATCGGCACAAAATTAAACCCGACAGCAAGGCATTTAATTTGGTACGATTCAACGAAATACTCTATTTACTAAAATCGTTTCTTTGGACAATGACATTAATTTAGCTATTTTAGCTTCAAAAACTATTAATGATGGATCCTAATAAACGAATAACGTCGGAACATTCTATGCAAGACGCCTACTTTCAAGAGGAACCACTGCCAACTCAAGAGTATGTTTTTAGCTTGTACATTTTTTTAATATGTTCACTGTTTGTTTATTAATTTAATAAATATTATAACGTTTCAGTATATTTGCTGGATGCCCTATTCCCTACCCCAAGAGGGAATTCCTAACGGATGATGACACAGAGGAAAAGACTGAAAACAAAGCGCGACAAAATCAACAACAAACGGTAAGTATACTCGTTAACGTATTTCACTGACTTTCTCTAACCGATATCATGACATTGTAGCAGCAGAACCAACAGCAGCAAGGAAACGGTGACCATAATCACGGACAAAACCCAAAACGTGTAAGGCTCAACGGACCACACGGAGCTCCAGAATTCCATCAGCATCAGAGCCACGCGATGACCCATCAACAGCCGCCCGGAATGGTTTACTCTACTGCCCAGCCAACGCAACCGTCGAATTTTCATCAACGTTTTTAAGTGACTCTGAAAAGAAAGGACTTGTCGATCGAATAATTCAATTACTAGTTTAGTAATTTAATTAATTTCTATATCTGATTAACGAATTAACGAGGAGGTCAATGATTCCTGTATATTCCATTAAAGTATGATAGTACAACTTTATTTATATATAACATGTACATATATTTGGAAATATTCTTTAACAATGATATCAAGTTGGTAACGATAACGCGTAGTAGACTCAACGTGTCTAGAATTTAATGTACATCGTGAAATACGGGTGACTGAGAACCGATATCAACAAATTCTAATACAAATTTATCGAATGTCAAATTTATTCAACATTTCGCGCAATCATGCATAGATATTAACAATAGAATTTCAAATTTTCCTATGCGGGGGTTTGCGATTACAATCTCTATGTTCCTAAGAATTCAAGTTTGTATTTACTAAATGAAAAAAACAGAACTTCTAAATGATAAGAAACGGTAATCGCGAGATGAAACATAGAGATAGATAGATAGAGAGTGAGAAAAACAGGATGAAAATAAATATTAGATAAAAATGAAAAGAAATATGAGTACAATTTTATTTCGCCCATCACCGAATCTAATTCTAGGATAAAAGACTCCCGACGCGAGTGGCACGTCATTTCAGCGCAATGAGGTTACTCGAAATTTTTATTTAGATAAGAATTTCGCCGTCTGCGAACAAAAGAAGGAGTAGAGAAAGAGTGAAAATCGGTATAAGGAGAGAAAGACGTTCCCTTTTCGCGGGGGAATAACAAGGATCGAGAGAATTCGCGATCTAGCGGTGGGGAAGTACGCATGCGCCGTAAATCATTCCGTAGCATCGCGGCAGTCTGTCGCGCGCTCATGAAACGCAGTTTCCGCGAATCGGTGCTCGACGAAAAAAGTGTGTGCGCGCCACGACGTCGCGTGCTACTGCGATAGGGATGCCAATCAAGCTAAGGACCATCCACTCGGCGGTCAACCTGTTGATTGGATGAGAACAAAAGGTGAGGAAGCATCTCGTCGATCGAACGATATTTTTATCATTTCACCCTTACTTTACTTTTCCTGATCGTAAATCACGAACTCACCTGTTGAACACCTGTCAAACTTCGCGGCGTTTCTTTGGGAGGGACCCCGTCTTTTAAGAAAAGTGGTACGCTTCCTTTCCGTCAAATGTCACGTGCGTTATTATCTTCGTTATTCTCCTGACAACCTGACAGTCACGACAGCGATTATTTCCAGCGTTCAAATAATCGTTTCTTTGTTCACGATGCAAAGCCCTTAAGAATTAGAAAATGAAAGAACAGTAGTTAGTGTAAATAATACGTCTTATACTTTAACGAATACTTTATTAACTTAATGTTTTGCATATCTTCATTTCTATATGTTCTTGCAACGTCGGACGCTGTATCATTAATTACAAGTCTTGATTGATATTAACGACAAAGGAATAGTATTTTAAGTGCGGAGTTACATAATTAGCAGCCCACCGGTATTTTCATTTAGGAACACATTCGTTCTCCATGGTTGTAGATTTTATCTGGGCATGGGAATAAAAGAATCAACGAAATCGATGGGTAAATCGATCGGCGTAGAAAAAAAATTGTGATTTCGTGTACCACGAACGCGTATGTACGGTCGGAGACGTCGATGAGCGTCATAGATGCAGAAGTAAAAGTAAAGGGGGGACGATCCTGACCACTATACCTCGCGACCAGTCGGGGCCATGACCACGTTGCGACAAGGTAACCACAGTTGCCTCGTATCGGTGTAGAATGATTCAAAATCCCAGTTCGGATTATTTGCGACGGCAATTAAAATGGAAGTATACAGGTGTGCCTAGTGCGAGGTCGAGGGACACGCTCCTAGAACCGAGACGATCGCTGTTAATGCATTTGCCTCTCAAACGTTTAGCGAATTTCAATTACCTCGCGCGATGCAATGTGATCGCAAACTATGCTTCAGGGGAAAAAATCTTAATTTACGTGTCAAGTTTCAATAAGGGACATTGTCAATTTTTAGAAATATAGCTTAGAATTAAGTGCTTAGAATCCCTCCTCTCCCTGTCGATCAAAAAATAAACAGGAGGATAGACGTGTAAGTAAGATATTGTAGGCTCCCTTTGCTTATAGAAGCAAATTAATAATAAAGAATCCTTCCAGAATACATTCAATGTTCATCATTCGTTCTGCGTATCAACCTTGCAAAAATGGAAGAGTACTGTTTTGATACTTCTTTCCTCCGAGTTCTCTTCCATAATGAACTAAATGCATAATTCATTCTTACCGCGGACCAATGAGAGCTACAAGGGATGTTCGGTCTGAGATCTATACGTAAATATAGATCATATTTTCGCGGCGAAAAAAAAATGTATATCAAAGAGACGTTCGCAAGAATCAACGTGTTTTCGGTCCAGGCAAGGACGATCGGTATTATTCCGACTTTCACGCGAAGAGGAACGTGACGAAACTATCAATTGCCTCTGGGTAGGACGAGCATTTTTTCGATACTATTTCGATGACAGAGAAACCAAGCAGAACGATGGTTCCGCCAGATCGAGCGCAGCGGAACGGATAAAAAATCAATAGTGCGCATCGATAGATCGTACGCGACAGTCGGTACATCGGCTGCTCCCCGTTCCATGAATCGACTTCTACAATTACTTTTCTCGTTACTCCGACGCCCCAGTTTATTGCTATTCATTGTTCACGCTTCTTCGTGTTTCTAGTTTTATTTTATCATCCTTTTCCTTACTCTGTTTTATTGCTTTCTTTTCTACTGTTTGAAAAAACAGGGCTTTGTATCACTTGTACTTATTTCTTTCAATCTTTCAATCCTGGTACAGTAGATACGTATTATTATTTAGGGTAGGCTTTAAAGGACCGCAATCACCGTATTTTACTTTTACAAGGGTAGTGCACATCTTTTTCTATAATACAGCCCAGTAAACAGGAAACGAGTCGCAAATACTATCGAGCCGCGCACGTGCACTCCGATGTTCGATTACTCCAACGATTTACGATCTCTGGCTGGAGATACGAGATACGGTTCGATTTTCCCCATATCTTTCCATGGAAATAGTTGTTTTTCTCGATCCCCCTCGGTACCGTTTCGGCCACGAAATTCGAAACGTCGGTTCCATGGCTGTAATCCTCTCGTCTCTGCGAGGAACGACATTGGCGACGGCCGAAAAGTTCTTTTGTCAGTTAGTGAAAGACGTGGGAAGAGAGGAGAGCAGATAGTCGGTGAACACACACCGAGGTACGCGTTCTCGAACGAAACAGAACGAGAACAAGAACGAGAGACAGAGAAGAGAGGCGAGGTCAACAAGGTACCCGATATGGTATCCCACGTCCGCCGTGAGCGCTATTTCATACACGCGCGCGTATGCCTAAATACACACGAGACACACGCAAATTCGTGCATACGTCCACAATCGTCTCTTGCGCTTGCCTACTATTAGTAATCGTCGCGACCAAACTATTAAATGCAATCTTATGCGCGATGTTGCGCGCTAATTTATCCACCGCCTGCGGTACGCTTCTCTTTACCGCTCGAGCGCTATTACGCGCGGCGATCGGAGATGGGAAGAATTTTATTCGAATCATAGGCGAAGAATGAAAACTATTAACTCGCTATTAACCTCTTCAGGGATACTTGCGCATAGTACATAGCGTGAAAACAGTCATTCCGGGCGTAAACAGATATAATTAAATTATCCAGCGACACGATACGACATCGTCGCGATATTGGTACTGATATATTGAATTTTTCTTTATTTCTAATGGAGTAATTCATCCCACGAGAGATGTAACAGATTGTAATCTATTGAAAATAAAAGTATACGTTTCGTTCGATATTCGTTATTGGGATCTAGTTTTGCCCATTTTTGGCGCGCGTGTCTATACGCGACGAATAAATGAATAAATCACGCTGAAATTTCGGCATAGGCAACCTCCCGGCCAATCCACTTTCGAGTCGAACCACGCAATTGACTGAACGTAATCTTTTCCGCCTAGAAATCGTCCCACGCGATAATCGACTGTCGATCGTGGTCCGTTTCGTACCAACTATTTGTTGTTATTATTATAACGTCTTTATTACGCGAATAAGGAAAATCCACGTAAATACTGAATAAATGCAAGTCATATAGCGCTGGAGAAAAAAAACCACCAAGTTTATAAGCTTGTTGGTTCTCGTGAATAATTCTGATAGATTTCTATCTACTTTATTTTTAAATTAATTTATCGCTACAGTTTTTAACAAATACATAGCGAAATTAATTCAGTACATAGTATACTGTTAATCGAATAATGGAAGGGTATTTAAATAGCCAGAATTATTCAAATGTCGAACGAAGCGAGAATCGTGGACCCAAAATGTGGACCTGTATGTAGGGTTGCGAATGTCAGGGGCAGTGGCACGTTCAGGGGCAGAGAAGATTAGAACGTCAGAAGGGTCGCGTTTTTGGAAGAAAGGGAGTCGTATCGATGACAGAATAAGTAGGAAAAGGAGGTCTGGAATTTAGACATACGATGATATTCGAGTAGAAACAGATGACACTATGGATAGGTGGGACGGGCACGAGTGGAATGGTGCGAAAGGTCAGACAGGGTGAGAAGGCGAACAAGTATGAAGGGTCTTCATTGAACGTTCGGAGAAAAAGGTAAACGCGTTGCCAGTGTATTTATGGCAATCTTATGATTCAGGACAATCAGGGAACTACTTCTTCGATCCTTGTGTGGTCGAATAATTACTCGAATATTCTTCGAACACTGAATTAAATACTCAAATAGTGATACTCAAATAATTTGAATATTTAACTGTTCAAACATTTGATACACGAATATTTAACTATTGCCATCCTCGAATATACGAGTAATGATCAAACGGTGCCATTTCTGGCAGCAATTACCGCAGGGACGAACGTGAGACGATTGGGGCGTTCTCGCGTGAATTTGGAAAGGTGACAGGGCCTCGAGGAAAAAAACCAGATCGGTCTGTTTATTTTTTTCCTCGTTTCGATCACGGCCTTCCTAAGATGGCCAGTGACCGTAAATGCAGCCACGCAAGTGCGAACTTCGAGGTCGTCGGCAGGAACGATTGCAGGAAGCTCCGATGGCTTAGTACGGCCGTAGCAAGGCGTACTAGCATGAATCACTCCGACCAGCCTCTACTGGTCGTTATATTCGGAGTTGCGTGTACGTACTCGCAAATCTCCCTTACCGACCACTCGAATCGGTGTCCTTTCCGCTTGTATCGGGACACGGGGATTCATAATTAACGTCTTTATCACGGGTATAAGGTAAACGTAGCTATCGCGTATCGAATCTTGAATCTACTCTTCGTAAGATCGTGTTAACAAAATTCATTTCATATGCTTTGTTAATAGATGAATATTGGACAAATAGAAAGAAAACCGCATAAATAAATTTTAAATCGTGAATCGTCTATGGAAATGGAACGATCGAAGCAGTTCCTCGATTGATAATTGATTTTATCGTCGACATGCTGGCGCTCCCGCGGTTTTAATCGACACCCTCGGCGGGATATCGAATCTATACGATCCAAACCGTGCGATTTATCGCGAAAAATCTTCACCCGCGGGTCCTTATTATTCGGGTATCTATTTTTAAACGTGACTAGAGGTATGTGCATGCATATGGTGACGCAATCCTATGGTCTTTCCCCTCTCTCTCCCGCTCTTCCTCTACTGCCCTTTCACTCTTACTCTCTCGCACCTTTTTTCCATCTCTCGTGTATTCTCTCGTTCACGGTCTCATGGCGAGACTGGGATCATTGGAGACACTTTTCACGATGGGAGTCGTCGGTTTCCTTATTTAAATATTCGTATTTAACGCCTCTGAGGGGGCGTCGAAGCTTGAGCAAACTTGAGAAAAATGGATGTTTCCTTCAATTTCTTCATTCAAATTCACGATGATCGATTGAAAAAGCACGCCTCATAATAGCTTCGAAGAAAAAGACTTTTAATGTTAGTATGTATGACTGTCTTATATGTTAATTTTGTGTTGACCTAGTTGTAACAGTTCGCCAACTTCCGGGGGGGCGCCCAGAAATGGCGCAACCTCAAACCTCAAGACCTCTCGAATGGCACCTAACTCGTTTACTTTAAGACACGTGCTCGGGGCACACAATTTTCCTTATTCTCTTAAATATATAGATATCCCAACCTTCCTTTTCCTGTGTCTCCACCATTTCAACTCTCTCACAGTCGATGCACGTTCCATGGATTCCTAAGCTTCTTTTAAACATGAGCTCGTCGCTTCTCTTCCATCTTCCATGATACATTCTCATCCTCTTCTTGTATCTTTATGTTCATCAGAATTGTCTACTTGTTTATGGAAATTGGACCGTGTCTGCACAGAAAAAAATTAGGAATGGCAACATAACGAACGAAATATAAACAAAAAGAGGTATCAGAAGAAAAATGATACGATAACAAAGTCAAGCATGAAAGCAAATCGTGGGCAATTTTTTCGTCATTAAACGAAACGACACGCAATACCTTTTTCCTCCAACCGAGCAACATTAGTCATACTAACGTACTTATGCGTCCAAGTGCACGTGGATGAAGCACGATACGTGTTCTCAACCTAGACCTCGCTCCACTCTATTCGTTGCTACCAATTGAGAAGGTTTCGCGAAAAATTGTCGACTAAGAGAACCATTAACCTTCTTGGAACGACCAACGCGATCCACGATTCGCGATTCGAGATGCGATGCGAAGCGATACCATCGTTTAAAACGGTTGCAGAATAGTGAATGAAGTATAGGAACAGTTGAAATATAAAAAAAAAAAACAAGAAAATTACGTCAATAAAGAGTATTAACGCGTACAAATTCGTTTCGTAGAAACTTGAGATGGGTCTTGAAAGACATTCTAGGATGAAAACATCATTTTCGTGCACGCAGAACCGGATTCCCAACCTTTACCTAGCGATCGCGCGATACGTAACAAAGAGGCTGTTCCCTAGGCATCGTTCGCTATTATCTGCACCAAGAAAAGTTCAGTGTTCGTTATGAAACGTTAAATGGCGTTTGATTTTCCTCCAAGTACCCGTTTCCACGTCGACTCGTCTTAAAGGAACATTTAAATTCGCGCGCAATGCTCTGACATTTTCTCTCGAGCTTCGCAACGACGTTGTTAAACCTTTATCCATTTTATCGACGCTGCAATTGTCAATACAAAAGTATACTAATCGAGAAACCAATTTGCTTCTCTTATTTCTTAGTATTCATATTTAACCACCTGAGAAAAATACTTGGCATAAACTTGGGCGAGGAAAATGCATGTTTCCTTCGAGTTCTTCATTAGAACGAGCATTTGTTGAAGACAGTATTGTTCGTTTGTTTCAGACTCGGGAAACGGACTTCCACAAATGCAGTCAACATGGATTCCCACGTTGGTCTCGACTATATCGTCGACAATCCTGATTACTGCGTCAAGCTCGCCTCGGGTAAATTATTCAACGTCCTCGACGGTTTAAATCCCGACTGTCCTAGTCGCATCGCGCTTATCGATGCGTTCTCTCGTTCGATTTCAGCGTTAGACACCGCCTGTCCCTCGGTGAAGAAACAAGTGGTGGAATTGCTTTCCGCGCTTTGTGTTTACAGCCAGGATGGGAGGCAGAGAGCCATCGACACTCTCCACGCGTATCAGGTGATGGTCCACGAAATTTCCCGGGTTTTAAATGAAAAACAAAGATGCCTCGTTCAGCAGGAGGTCACTATCAGAGATGGGCAAAGTTAGAATTGCAACTGAATCTTTGGACCATCGGTGATGAACTCAAAAACTAAGCATCTAGTTTGAAACGAAAATTCCTCTTTAACAAGTGCAGTTCCTCTTCAATGATTATCTCACTTTAAAATACTTGTGACTGTTGTTTATCTAAAAATAAAATCACGGATAAATGTCTCGTTATCTATTGTTTTGCCCATCTCTGGTTTGCCGTAACCGTCCTGTTCGTCGAAGGTACAGAGGCGCGTGGTGGCGGTGCTAAGCTTGGATAAAAGTCACAGTTCAAGGCCTTCCCTCGACAAACAAAAGAATGATCTACACACCGTAACGTTCCTGCAGAGTTACATTCGCGGCATACTAGCTCGTGCAACGGCGTTGTGAAATATGCGTTTTATCGTGTAGCAATTTGTCGCGTTAATCGTCCGTTAAATACGAGGCTCGCCGTCTTATCGAATATTCGAGTTACCCAGAGCAAACATAATTCGCGCTGGACCAGCCGTGGAATCGGCGCGGCGCATGATCCAGCTAATGGTGCGCCGATAACGCTTAACCCTCTGTAACATACATAAGTTATATTAGCCTGCTGAACTAGATTTCATGGTTGCACCAGGAATAAATATTGACAATATCTAGATTTATAATAAAAATAGATCGTAGGCTATTCCTTTAGTAATAGAATTGAATTGGACATAAATAATATGTTGGTATCGATGACTATGTGACTTTAGAATTATGTAAGATTGCAAAGGGTTAACGAAAGTTCTCTTTTAGAGGGTTTAAATGGTTGAAACGTTACAGGAAAAGAAAGGTGAGCGATATCGACTGCGAATCGTGGTCGATGAGCTCCAGAAAGCGACCGCTGAGGACTATCAGACGGCCCTATTAGCTTTTATAAATTGTTTGGTCATCTCCACGCCGGTGCTCAAGGATCGCATACGAATTCGCAACGAGTTCATCGGTTGGTACAACTCTAAAATCTCAGAATCTAAACTTAAGGAGTTACACCATTTTGAAAAAAATAGAATAGTGATTCCTTAGGAATTAATTGCAGGAATTAAATTTAATTTACAATTTCAACGCAAGCGTTTGTGCCTGTCGATTTTTTAAAAATAGTCAAGGTGGGGTAACCCCTCGAGGAAAGTGACAATTGAAAAGTCCACTATTGTCTTCTCCTTCCAGGTTTGAAGCTCCTCCCGATCCTGAACGAGCTGCGGTGAGTACTCGACGACCCGGATTCACGACATTAACTGATTAACACCTTAACATTGTTGAATAATAAATAATAATGAACGTTACGAAAGGGCGCCTTATTGTACCCACACCTTCTCATTTGCACCTAATGTTAATGTCGCGCATGCATCGAGCGTCGTACGCATCTAGCCAGGACTATTAAGCAATTATATCAAGGATTGGTTAACCAACGGAAGAAGCACTCGGCCTATGCAACGCGTAAACAATTGCATGCACTAATCCAAAACCAGTCATCGTTCTTCAATTCCTATCTATCGAGGAAAGTTTGGGGAGAATCAGAATCGTTAAAAGAAATCAAAATTTCATTTCACCCGAACTAATTACTAATGACATTGCTATCATTAAAACGATCACGAGGGAGCGGACTTTCACAGCATGAATTGAGTCTGTATTTACATTAATAGTTTAATACCCTATAAGAATAATAATTATTCATTCATAAATTTAGAGCAAAAGGAACCACGAGAAACCCACATTTATTTCTGAAGCTTCCCAAAAAAGTTCGAAGAACACTTGCACGAGATGAATCGTGCACGTGCACTCCCATTAGCGTTATCGTCGCGATCGTTGTTGTGTAAACAATACCCGATCAACAAAAGGGAGAGAGATAACGGCGGAAATACGGATTCCACGACGAGAATTTACATTTACGAATCACTAAGCACCGTCTGAGGGTTTTAACGTTTCCTTTGGGTCTTCGCTTAAATCACTCTCTACAGGAATAGTACTATCTGTCATTCCTCCGCGGGATGACGGACGTGCAAACTATTCTTGATCGAGCAAAACTATTCGAAGAAGTCGCTTTAAATATCGCCCGGAGGAATTGTCTCTAAGAATTCACGATCAACGGAATATCACTTACCCGTCACGAGCAAATTGCAAAACTATTATCACAAACCACATTCTACTTACTCAATCCAAGTAGTATAATCTCTTCAACTCTTTGAATCACTGTGTTTGTCTTTCTGCGCTGAACTTCTAATTATCTCGTGGGCTAACAAGATAGTTATACCCCTTAAACTAGGATTGTCCTCTCCTAAAAAAATCAAATTCGTTCAGTCGTTAAAGTTTGTCAAATCGTTGATCAAGGCCTAAAGAGTCGGTCATGTGATAAAAATCGAGACCGTCGACACAAAAGTTTGGCTACGAGAGGAATGTCAAGGATACGAGGATCGTGGCACCATTCGTCCGAAAAATAGAAGCACACTTACGGAATTTTCTTTTTCCTCTTCGCCCTCTGTCTTCCCGAATTCCTGACAACGTTAATGGAGCCGAGAGTCTGACAGGGAAAGAACTCGACCTGTCTCCCTCCGATTTTCGCGTTCCTCCGCTGAATGACAGAACACGTGCGCCATTAGATACTCGATAATTCTAGAGGTATAAATAACTGAAGAATGGAGTCGTTTCTAAACGTTTCGTGTAATACAGGTAGAGACTTTAAGCATCAGGGGTTGATATCGAAGTCAGATTGGGACCCCTACTCGCGAATAAAAACGACGCAGAGAGAAAAGGTATGCAGGAGGAACCTTCGTGCAAAACGGAGGAGAGCACGGAAAGGAAAAAAGGGAAAAGCGAGGCAGGGAACTCGAAGGGAGAGAGAAAAGCCCGAATTAACTCTACGCGCGATGCACCTGCAGCTGCGACTCGCTGGAGCGATCAGTGCAGTGCTCCTCCGATCGAGAGACTGCTGCGCCAGTCACTGTCAAGATTGCCCCAAGTTCTCAAAGTCTCAACGTTTTGCAACGTTCCCAAACTCGACCTCTCGTCAGTAATTATCTCTCTGGTAATTATCGACGGCCCCAGAGGGCCAGCCTTGGCGAAGACGCGCGTGTTCAGTGAAAAGCGAAATTTGTACATTTGCCGCTCGGAATTTTTAAACGTTCCCTGGCTTTCAGAGGGCAGAGGATCGACGACACGGTCAGACAACCGCGAAGACGCCGACTATTTTTGGTTGTGCATCGTGGAGACGGAAATCGTGTTTGAAACGCGACTGGAGTTCACCGCGCATACGAACCGTGTAAACTTGTCTACAGGGTGTTCGAGAACGGTGGTGGCAAATTCTAGACCAGTGGTTCTTAAAATGTTTAGACTCGCGCGGTCTAGAAGATTCCTAACTACTCTGTGACGCGACGCGTTGTACAGCAGTTATTACCTTTGGGAAACAGTAATTTTTGTCATCAAATGTTATATTAGATTCCTCGAAATTTGTATTACCCTTTCTAAAGAATCATTATTAGAAACGTTCTTCCTCATTAGGGGACGCTCATCGCCTCGCTAACACGGCGCTATTCTTCGTGTAGCTAACAATAATTTTAACGAGTTCCCTTATGCGCGAGATGATTGCTCGAGAATATTAAGTACTATGACAAACACGTACGACACACCTACGGAATAAGAATAACCGGATGATAACGGATCGAACGCTCTAAACGGAAGCGACGCCAATTTATGGTACACCATCGACACTCCTTCCTGGTCTATCATAACAGATAGAACACGTGAGAATCCAGTTGATAGAAAAACAGTTGAGTGATAAGTCAAAGAATGTGTGTGAGTAGATGCGAGAGTTTGTGACGTTTCATTTCGAATAGAATTCTGAGAAGACTAATTTCTTGGCCATGTACCCTATGCCATTCGATGGATTTCCTTTATAATATTCTTTTTTGTATTCGTTGGAGCGATTACTATTAATTTCTTGCTACAAAAACAAAGTTCTAAAAGGAAACAGCTATGAAATGATATAACACTCGTGGCCAAGAAACTGTTCTTTACAAGAGAAAGTTCTACTCGGAATAAGATTCCACGAATATATACTAAAATTATGAAAATCGAGATAAGTACGAGCCCTGGGGTGAAGAGGAAGAATGGGAATGGCTAGAGCGGAGAAATTGAAATTCTAGAAAAGACATGTGTGTCGAGTGGGACGGAAATAGAGCGAACAACTACGTAAAGGCTTAAAATGTACCCGGATCAGGAAGGTGACGATTGTTCTTGCAGGAAGAGCCACGCTCCGGACCTTACAGTGCAGCTCGACGTCTTCGACGACCAGCGCGAGACCGACGAGGAGTTGTCAAATCACGGCCCGCCTGGAATCGATCTATCCTCCCACGTGGACGTTTTCTACGCGATTCTAGGACAAGTAAGGGAGCTCATCGACGATTAACAAACTCAGTAGACTCTTAGATCCTGCTGGTTTCTATTTTAAAAGCCATCGATAAGCCAACGCGCTCTGTCCGTACTTCAGATTGCAGACACCCCGCAAGAAATACCATTCCTGAGCATTCTTCAACATCTGCTGCGCCTGGATCCCAAAGACGCCGCCAGCGACTTAGCATGGGACACGGCTGAGACGCTGGTGCACAGAGCGACTCTTTTAGAAAATCGAGAAGACGCCACCAAGTTGCTGCGATCGCCTAGTCTTCAGGTAAGTTCCACTCTAGTCTCTTCGTTTTGTTTCCTGTAAGACAAATATTTGTATTTTGATAGTTTATATTAATGAAACAATCAAAATATTAGGAGCAAGCCTTGGTACCAACTTCCGTCGGCTGCTATCGCTCGATACTTTCCCCTATCGTGTAATCGCGACTCGTTTCGACTCGGGCCTCGTGTATCGGTTACGTCAGGTTGTTAAAATTTCACGCAAGTTTCTCGTACGATTGTTCAATGTCGTCTGCCTAACGCGAAATGACGCAACGCTTGCAACATTTCTCGCTTTTACCTTTCACGAGCGAAACGAACCGAGCGATCTTAGGCGGACCCATCAAGGAATGGCCAGCTGACCATTATGTTTACAGGGACCTTAGACAAAAGAAATAGTTCAGGAACGTAGGTTCAAAGTTGTTTAAAATGAATAGAAAGACAAGTGAAGAGAAAAGGAATGATGAAAATAGAGTACTTTTCTAATGAAACAATGAATCGATTCCTTTAATTGACTAATTCTTTTACGTTTGCTTCGCATTATTTTTGTTTCGCAGACGAATCTATGCTGTCACTGCCGAGGCACCGAGCAGACGTGCGGAACGTCTCGAAAGGCATCGTTACCGGTAAACAATTCACCTCTGCCACCTTTGCCACCTCCGCCACCGCCTCCCGGTACCCTAACACCCAACTCCTCGAGCCAAGGCCTCGTTCTGCCGCCACCACCGCCCCCGCCGCTTTTTACCGCCAACGCTACCCAAGCCGATGCATCGATGGAACCACCGCCCATCCCGCCGCCGCTCCACGTGCTACCAGTCACACGGGCGCCCACCCCCGAGCCACCCAATAATCACGCGAGGCTCCTACCGCAACAGGAAATACCCACCCCCAAGGCAAAGATGAAAACCATCAATTGGAATAAGATACCCAACCACAAAGTACGCTTGCCTACATTCTATTCGCATATCTATTTCTAAGTTAAATGGTGTGGATTTATGCCGGATGCAAATGTGAAAAACATGGACCAAACATTCTATCGCCTTTTCACGCGCAGGTAGTGGGCAAGCGAAACATCTGGGCTCTGGTAGCCAACGACCACCAAAACTCTCCCATGGCGGACATAGACTGGGCAGAGATGGAAGGTCTGTTCTGCCAGCAAGTGCCTCCAATGTTGCCCGCTGCCTCCTGTTCCTCCTCCTACGGAAACAACTCGGATGCTGAGAGACGACGACGGGAACCAACAGAGGTACCATTTTAACAAGCCTCGCAAAGAACGTTCCTCCATCTTCAGTTCCTACAAATATATTAAACATTTTAGATTGCGCTACTGGACGGTAAGAGAAGCTTGAACGTGAACATATTCCTGAAGCAGTTCCGAAGGCAAGCATCCATTATTATTAATTCGTATAACTTTTTGTTTTCAAGTAGAATAAAATTATGCAATAGATACCTTTGAATAATTATGACATCAACACCAAACGAATATTGCAGCTCGAACGAGGACATAATCCAGCTCATAAAGGACGGCGGTCATGACGACATCGGCGCAGAGAAGTTGAGAGGCCTCCTGAAGATCCTGCCCGAGGTGGACGAGCTGGAAATGCTCAAGAGCTTCGACGGGGACAAGTCGAAGCTTGGAAACGCCGAGAAGTTCTTCCTGCAGCTCGTCCAAGTACCAAAGTACGAGAATTAAATGTGATACCTCACTGTCCCTCCACCCGCGGGTCTAATTGCTTTCTTTCTTGGTTCATCGATAGTTATAAACTACGCATAGAGTGTATGTTGCTGAAGGAAGAATTTGCCGCTAACATGGGCTACCTAGAACCGAGCATCAACTCGATGATCCTCGCAGGTGAGGATCTCATGACGAACAAACCGCTTCAGGAGGTGCTTTACATGGTTCTAGTTGCTGGGAACTTTCTCAACTCGGTACGGAAGTCAAGCTTAAACCAACGTAAAACAGATTCTTGGATGGTATATTGAAATCAATGTCGCAGGGTGGATACGCTGGGAACGCTGCTGGGGTGAAGCTGTCCTCCTTGCAAAAGTTGACGGAGATTCGAGCGAACAAGCCTGGAATGAATCTTATACATTACGTGGCTCTGGTAAGGTACTTGTCATAACATTTCAAAAATCGTTTGTTTCACATTTGAACGTTTCGACTCCCAGCAAGCTGAGAGGAAACGGAAGGACTTACTCGATTTCGCGAAGAGCATGAACACGTTGGAAGCTGCTACGAAGTGAGTGCATTAAACGTAGAAACAATATTCATTTCCGAGGTATTCTATCCTCTGTCTTATTTTCTTTGGGGAACAAGGACCACGACGGAGCAGTTGAACAACGAGTTCAACGCTCTGGATACAAAGATTAAGAAGATCAAAGCGCAGATCCAGCTTCCTTCCACGGAGATCGACATACAGGAACAAATGGCTCAGTTCTTGCAGGTACACCTGAAAACATTTATGTAATATAAAAGGTACAATCGTGAAGGATAGGATAGCTAAATTAATTTTGGTTGGTTGGAAAACTTTGGGACCTCAGATGGCAGAGCAAGAGATGAGCCAGCTGAAAGGCGACATGGAGGAGCTCGAAACTGTAAGGCGATCCCTCGCTGAATTCTTCTGCGAGGACACGAACACCTTCAAGATCGAGGAGTGCTTCAAGATATTCCACCAGTTCTGTCAGAAGTTCAATCAGGCTGTCGCGGAGAACGAAAGGCGAAGAATCCAGGAAGAACAAGTCTTAGCGAGGCGCAAGCAACGAGAGGAACAGCTTTTGGCCAAGAAGCGATTCCGTGAGTCGATGCATTCCCAATTTATTCTTCCAACTCTTTCATTTTTATTTCATTGTTAATGTATAGTGGGTCTCTCGAGATATGCAATGCTGACTAATTATTCGGTATATAGTGCTGTCAACTTCTAAGTACAGAGTATTTTATAGTAACGAATCAAGCCGAGACGCCAGCCTCAGAATCCGAATGCAACCTAATCGATTACGGCCTCTTCGATCTCCATACCGGTTTACCTCAAAGAAATTATAGTCGCAACGATGCCAAGGTAAGCGCTCCCGTCTATTTCTCGCTCCGAAGAAAGTATGGCTGCGGCTGCGCTTATACTTCTGGTCGATTGAGTTACTCGTATACGCCCTTTCTTTACCAATGCAGATTAAAAGATTGCAAAACGGAGGAGTCACGTCGGACGAAGACGTCTCGATCGCTGGATCTCCGAGCATTCGACGTCGCTTGGGGTCCTGTTCGGGGGGCACGGCCGATCAACTGTCTACCAAAGAAGAAACATACTCTCCAGGTTCCGTAAAGACCATAACTCGTGCTACAACGTGGACTGAATACATTCAGAAGCCTGTCTATGCGATCCTAAACAATTCTTATACTTCATTGTAGATGTTACGCCAAACGGTACTCTTCGTCGTCGCAGAAGTCGAATACCCTGCGAGGACGACGATGGCAACCTGATGGACTTTTTGAGGACATCGGGACAAGACAATACACGCGAAAGGAAGTCTTGGGGTAGTTTAGGTACGATTCGCCAAATATTACAAAGTCTGTTGAACAAGAAAGGCTAAAAATCAGGGAAATTGATGTTCGTTTGGTTGATTTAATGAATAGATCGGTCGTGGGCTCGAAGAACTCGAGGCCAATCTCGCAGGAGCGATCTTCTGAACGCCGATTTCTCTGCTGACCGAGAGAGACCGAGCTCCCCGTCACCTTTGGTGGAGAACAAGCCTTTCCTGCAAGAAGAAGAAACAAAACCTGCTGGGTACGACCAATTAATACTCGTTGATAACAACACAATTATACTTCACCTTACATTTTCTTCATTTTGAACTAAATTCCTCGACGTATTCACCCTGCAACGAGAAAGACTATTATTATGTTTATATCTACATCGAAACAGAAAAGCATGGAGGCAGAAGATCGAGGCGTGGCTGTCGGAGAACGAGAAGGAAGATCGTGCGGGTGAAGAACTTCAAAGAAAAGCGAGACAGTTGCACCAAGCGAATCGACGGTCCTTCGAAGACTCGGGTAAGTGAGACAGGTATCGTTACCTTGAATGGCCACGGCGAAGTGTTCCCTTTTAATTTGATTCTTGGCATATCGGGTGCGTAGAAAGTGAAGGCAAGACGAACACACCGAACGAAGGTAATTCCACGCACGAAGTTTACGACTCTGAAGTATACGACTGGCGTCCGTCGGTGGAGAAGACGGACGTGATGCGTACAATGGAAGCTATAGAAGGTTACCTCCGCTATTTTACAACCTTCATTAATTATAATTACTATACCAAGAGTGTAACTTACTTTTGGTTCGTTACAGAAGCCGAAACGCACCCGTCCCAGAAGGACAAATCTCCTTGGCGGAAGTCTAGCTTGAACGTACCAAATAGTATGGAAGAGACTGACCCACGTTATTCCCGTAGGCTAAGATCGAGACTCAGCACAGAAAACATCCTCACCTCCAGTACCTTGCAGGTTGGTATTCCGCTGATAATCTAGAACAAGTTATAATCGTTTCTTGTATGCAACATTTCAAACGATCGCGTTCAATGACCGCAGTCGATCAAAGAAGAGGACAGAAAGAAGAAGATCAACGATACCGTGAACCAGGATCCTCAGGACGAACTAACGATCTATCTGCGCCAGCCCTACAGCAGCTCTCAGGTCTCTGGTTCGCGAAGGTTCTCCAAGTACAAGAGAGGCGAGGAGGAGAAAATCAGCGACAAAATCGAGATCGATTCGGATAACATTGAAACTCCTCCGGCGACCAGGAAGCTGTTCAGTCCTCCGAAGGAAGTAAAGCCAGTGGAGAAAGAGCCTTGCAAGAGGGAACGCTGCAACGGGTCCTTTCAAAGTCGAGACCTTAAAAACACGGTCGTGAAAAATGCGAATAGTAACGCAGACTTCGGTACAGGTATATTTTTATCGAGTGAAACGTACCCTGTGACATCGAACGGGAACATCATCGATGTATTCGTTTCAGGTAACTTCGACAGGTATTCGGCGACAAGGAGGACTCGAAGATACAAGAAGGTCCAGCAGGACACGCCGGAGAAGGAGCCCACCAAAGACATCGCAGTTTCGGAGCCCTTCGAGGAGAAACCAGCCCAACGACCTCTCACTTTGCCACTGTCGGAAGACAATCGGGACGAGGACAGCATGCTTCGCGTCTGGCAGGACAAATTGAAGCGTCGCGAGGCGTCCTCCTTCGACATCGACGCCGCACTGGCAGACATCACCCGTTCGGGCGAGGATCTTCAACGGCTGTCGCGACCGATAACTTTGACGCACAGAAGCTCCAGGCTCCCTGTCAGCCAACCACCGCCAGTTTTAGCAGTGACCAACACTGTCCTCAGCCCCGTAATGCAAGAATCCCGTCCACGAGAGCCATCCTTGACAGTTCTCGCTGAGAGAGCCGTGACCAGTCGGGAACGGCAGAGGAGCATGATCGATCCTAGTCAAGTGAAGGAGGCGATAAGGTTGACGAACAATCCACCTAGTCAGGTGAATCAAATTCAAAACGGTTCATCGCGAGATAGGGTGATAACTCAGGATTACAGGCCGTCTTTGAACTCTCGCCAGGACGAACGTAACGAGGATCAGACCGATCTGATCGAGGATCCAAAGAACAGGGTAGCGAACAGTGATGTTTACAAAGATCTCAGTGGCAGCCCTGAAATTAAGCGATTGGAATCGAGTCGAGACGAGATTAGAATCCAACCACCTCAATCTATGGATACCTCCGTGTTCCGCGGAAGGTTCGTTCCAGACATATGCGTCACGACTTCGGCCTCCTCCCCGTTGCCACCACCCTCAGCCAAGGGTAGAGATCAAGAAATGAACGACGAAGGCTTCGAGGAGACCCAGAGCTTAGTCTCCGAAACGTTGAGCCAGGAAACATCATCTGGCAACTACGAAACGGACACCCACGATTCGACGCGATGTTCACCAGCTGAATTACGCTACTCTGGAAACGATACCGATCGCCCACGCCCTGCGATCATCGCCTGCGAGGAGCACGTTGACGAGAACAAGTCCATCGACAAAGCGTTGACCTCCGTCAAAGGGTTCGAGAAACGAGCCAGCTCGATGAGGAAGACAGGCGAGAAGACCAGCTTCCTACCTAAACGAACCAACAGTTTGAAGAGAGACGTTGCTCCAGGAAAGGCGGATGCTATACAAAGAAACTCGAACATGACGTTTCCGTCGAGCAACCCGAGGAACGAGGTGGAGCGTTCAGGGTCAAGAAGCAGTTTGCGCAGCTCGCGAAGCTCTCTGAACAGCGCCACTTCGGTGAACACTGTGAAAAACTTGGTGCCGAATCATTCTCGCCTTCGCACTTACACCTCGGCGATCTGTGCCCTGACCAATGATTTGAGGAAGAGTCCGTCGAACACCCCACTGCCGCCGAAAACCATTGAGAAACGACGAGTGAACCCACGATCCACCGTCACCAGGATACCTGCCAGCAGGAGCAGCAGCAGCGGGAGCAGCGTTGGCCCTGCTGCGAGAACCGTTCGAAAATCTATCGGGGTGAGTCCCTATTCGACGTCGAAAACTTGGTTTGACTACCTCTATAGAGAATTTCTATATTTCTACGTACTACTGCGAATCTGTCCATCTGTTGAAAGTTGTAGTATAATTAAATGAAATCTCTAATTAAGTAAAAATGGTATATCTGTTGATGGCCTGATCATGTTTTCAGATATCGAGCGACGCGCAAAAGGGAAGCAAAGGGCGGACAATCGGCTCTCGTAGCAGCAGCAGCAGTGGCAGTAGCATGGGCCAGCAGTCTCTGTTGAATCGTTCAACGATCGAGAAAGTACCAGCTACGAAGAGCAAGCTGATCCATCCTCGAGCTGGAACCAGAAACCACGGTTTCATGAGACCAACGGCCGCGAGCGTGAACAAGGGCTCCATTCCGAATCTTCCCAGAAGTATCAAAGGTTTGGTCAAGTGATTCTCTCCCATCGCTCTAGGGAAGCTCCGTTGTGCCATCGCTCGATGCGCGTGTCGTAAAACATGCCTGCTCGAGATTGCGAAAAAGTCGACTGATCCATACACTTTGCGCTTCCGTTATTTTATACGTTATCTACGATTTAGAGCAATTTTCTTACATTCGCGCGTCTATCGTGTCGCGTAGACGCAGGTGTTCTTTCGGTTGCTACCGTTAAGGGTTGACGTTTAACCCCCCACTGCATGGGACTTTATTTCTCCTTAATTAATCAAAGAGTTAAACGATGAGTTATCGAATTTGTAGAGGATCTGTAAAATTGGCTTTGTCAACGTCCATTGTGTTCCTAATCGGGCACGTTATGCGATGGAGGGTTAAGAACGTCGACGAATTAATCGTTTTAAATTAACTTGGTTATATTAACATAAGTTACATAGTGGCATTATACCTGCAGACACGCGCAACGGAAATGTAAATTGCGCGTGGTCATGGTACACTTAGATGTCAGATACGCTTGTCTGGTCGCATCGCGAACGTCTGCGTCGCGAGAACCGGCAATCTACGATAGAACATGTATATGTCGAACGATGCGGCGCGCCATGACGGACGGTTTAATACAATTTTCGTGTCCTAACGTCGTTTTGCATCGGATCACAGTCGAAGTCTCTTATAATTTATGTCGAGTTAGCTAGTACGTTTAAGTAATAATTCCTTCCCTTAGAATACAGTTTCAGATATGTAATATATATAAGTGTACTAACTAAGCGTGTACGACATATGTAAGTTTCATCGATGATAGTACGCATATTGTAGACCATGATCATTAGTAAATTAACGAACTAAATAAACGTAATCTAATTTTGTTCAAGAGACGATTGCGCGAAATCGCCCGCCGCTCTGGAAGCGTTATCAAGAAGCGTGCGATACCGGCGCCCTTGAATGAATCGAATAAAGAAGGATGATTAAAACAATGCCAGGGTAGGCGATTACTTACCGATTCGACACATTTATCATTATATTCAACAAATGGTATGTACACGTATTGTACACGGCACAGAAACCGTTCTGCCGCGTAAGTGGTTGTTACAGCTGCACGAAACGAACACGAAACATCGGTAACCCCGAGAAAAAGGTAATTCGCCGGTAGTCAATGAACTATGATTTCAACCGATATAAACGCGATAACGCCGAGCAAACGACTCGTAGTCATCCCTTACGCGCCTGGTTGTTAACGTATTTTAGATGGTCTCACTTTTACGCAAACTTTATGCAAAGTAAGACGACCTTGGAGGCGCGCAAGCAATTAAATATAAATACTAGAATATATCTGTGATAAATATCTTGAACGGACGAACAAACCTGCTCTTCAACGAATTAAACATGATACAAACAATGCAAACGTAAAATAACAACCGGACAATCGAACAACGAAACCTCCGAGAGGGTCTCGAGGAATTAAATAAGCGTTTAATCTCCGATCGACGGAACGTATCGAGAACAATCGGTGTTATGTTTTCTGAGGACGATCACGGAATCCAAGGAGCACCGGACTCTGCGGCGCGAGGATGAATTCGAATTGCAAACCAAGGTCTTCGTCCACGATAATCTCAAATTCCCGTATGATCTGTGAGAAAAAAAAAAATAAAAAAAATATCTCGATGCATAGGATGTCCCTTCCTACTCCATAACTATCGACGACAAGATACACCGTGTTCTATCATTGCAACTACTTGGCGAACAAATACGAACCTTTGCCAGGATAAGCTGCAAAGCGAGCTCCACGAAACGCTTGCCAGGGCATATCCTTCTTCCGAACCCGAAGGGTGCAACCACCAATGGCGAATGCGGAGTGACGGGATTCAGCCACCTATCGGGCATATACTTATCGGCGTCTTTAAAATTCTCCTCGTTCAGTCCCGCTATCCAAGTATGCAAAATAACCACGGTCTGCAAATAATTAAATGATGTTCAATGATGAGACGGAGTATCGTTAAAGAGGAACGTACGTTAGAGAAATTCTCACTCACTCCCGCGGTAAGGTGATATCCGCTTAGCTCAATGGGTTCTTCCAAAATGCGTGCGACACAAGTTGTCGTGGGAATGACTCTAAACGCAAAACAGCAATGCAGCAGACGCGACGATGCGACGAAAGGAATGTTTCAATGAACGCTATACGCACCGAAACGATTCGGTGATGCAGGCACGCAGATACTTGGCTTTCCGTAGATCCTCGATCGTCAGATCACAGCCTGGCGGCGCTAACGAACACGCTTCTTCGTACAGATCGGCTTGCACCTTTGAATTGCGCCCGATCAAATCGAACAGAAACACCAAAGTGTTTCCCAGCTGCGCAAACAAACACCACGAAATGATACAAATTAGGTCGGGCACCTCGCCATGGGGCTATCATTGCAACTCTCGAGAGAACTTTTTATCCAACTTTTCTACAAGTTGACTCACCGTGTGAATGCCAGCTGCTATAAAATCAACGATAGCAGCCTTCTTGTCCCGTACATCCAGATTCTTTTGCCGCAGAATGGATTGAAAGACAGCTTCCAAGCACTCATCTTTAGCATCGTCGCGTTTTTCCTTTATCGTAGCCTCGACGATGTCCGAGATGATACTAAAAAGAGACGAGTTTTTCAGCGAATCAACCTCAATTTAACAGATTAATCGGGGACGAGAAGTGTCGAAAGAGCTCTCTATAATATCTCGGGGGAGTCCCGACACAGGACTGTACAATTCTAACTGTTAACTTCGTAATCCATTAAACAAGGGGTTTACTTATTCGCGGTATCTCTTAATTCCCTTGAAGCACATCCGCGTACCTGTAAACCGTATCCTCGCTCTCTATCAACTGTTTGTACGCAGACGTTGGCAGCAACTTCCAAAGCGGCAAGCCGTAAAAGGCATCGCGCGAGGCCCTGAAGTGGATCCGGACGGCTTCCGCTAATCTCGTCGTGACTGTGCTGGTGGAATCTGGCTTTAGGAAACCGAGGTGTCGGCCCAAGATCAGCGTGCACGTACCTAACGCGAAAGTTTATGTATACTAGCATATTGCATAGGAATGAGAAGATGAGACTCTAGGGGTACGTTACGGAGGAACCATAGACTTAAGATATACATATACATTGAATTAGGCTCTCCCTAGTGAAATGTCTACAGTGGAAGTACTTCATTCTTATAGCGAACAGCTTCTATTGCAAGATGTATAGTTCAGACAGTGGTTTGGACCTCCTCAGTTCTCATCTTCCGGTGAAATCGACGATAACCAGGAGAATCCCGAGCTTACTTTCGAGTCCCATTTTATAGGCCAACTCTTCGAAACCCGCCACCTTGTCTCCCGTCCTCCGTCGGCGAATTAAATCGATGAACGAGTCTGCGACGATGTTGAGCGCCGGGAAGAAGCCAAGGACAGTGTTGGCCCCGGTCAGCTCTGACGTAAGTGCGGTCCGAAGATCGTGCCACGCTTGCCCCTGTCTATCGAGTCGCTTGTTCGTTTAAATTTGTATTGCGTGCGGTTTCCACATGCAAAGACTATTGACAACAGACGTACGCCAATTTCGTGGCTCCGCTATATGACTAGTTTTCAACTGGTGCAGCATTCAACGTTTAATACCGTGTAGTTTCTACTTTAGATTCCGTTCTCGATACTCATGTTCGAACAAAGAAAAGTACCTAGAAGCACACCTGCTCTATATTCTAAACTGTTGCGTTTCCATACGAAAGGAAACTGGCGCCAACGTAGTGGCGCCAACGATCTCCGCATGTGAAAGCCCTGTCTTACGTCAGAGTTTTGATCGAGGTATGCGACGAGACGGGGTGGACGTAACGTCTCGACGGAACCTTAAACTCGACCTCGATACCCTGTCGACGAGATAACTACTTACTCATTGACCAAACCCAGATTCGTGTAACGATCGCGACGACTGCGCCGGTAGTGGGATATGACCTCCTGCGGAGGACGAAGCGGGTATCTCGAGCTCCGTCTGAAGACCGCCTCGATGTCGCGACGAGAGAACACGGAGATCACAGGGAAGTTCCATAATGCCTCCTCTTTGCACAGCGGCCCGTATCGTTGATTCAGATCTATTCTTGAATGAGAAACGACGCGCTATGTTAAAATATTATATACTAAATTTACCTATCAATGTTTCAAACAAACGTGTTGGATCTCTTGAGCGTGTAACATAATTATTAATAGCTGTTAACAGTCTCAGCGATCCATATTTTATCTCGACTGACAACCGGTTCTTGCCCTGCGTGTCTGTCAATTAGAGAAAGATCTTGCTCCAATTGCTTTTACATTTATAACTATCTTCACTCGTCATTGTCTTCCTTTTACGCCTGACTAATTAACAAGTTTTACCAGTTTGTCTAATCCAGCTTCTCTAATCATAGGATCTCTTTCTACGTCGCGTTTCCCTTCGATGATGACGTATAATTTCTTACAATTGTTAGCAGCTATTAGAACGTCACTACTCAGAGTAGATCAGAGATATTTGACTCTTTAAGTAGCACGGTTTATTACGAGGCAAGGCAACGATGCCAAACTTCTTACCTTTGTAAGCATCGTGAACCTTATTCAGTCGATAAGAACCGAACCAGGAGAATATCCACCTGGTTCCAAAAATCGGCAGGGGATAGGGTCCAGGCACATCAGACACCGTTAGAAATTTTCTCTGGTGTTTCTCTTCGTTTGGGACTGCTAACCATGGGAACAAAAATATAGGTGTTATAGTGTTCCACTTTCGAGGAAGAATCCGATTTCTACGCATAGTTAAAAATTATTAAAGAAGTCAGTCTAGCAGTCTACCAAGCAATTCAGACTAAACGCTGAACATTAATCGCCTTTTGAACCTTGTTGCACAGTGCCCAATTTTGCCCAGCACAGTTGGGAAACGGCTACCTTAAGGCTTCTTCTCGCCACAAGAAAGTGGTTTCTAAGGTTGAAGGACGCGATTACAGAGCGACCTTGTCGCGCGTAACCACGAGCTCTCCACGCTTAGAAAGGGGACCGTGACCGTACGCGCGACGTCGCTCGCTTCAAATTGAAGGTCGCCACGAACACCTTCTCTATAACGCACAATTTCTTCGCTTTCTTTCTTTTTGTAGCGACACGAAGACGGCACTACCGAGGGAAGAAAGAAGGGTTCAGGGGTTTGCAAACTATGGTCGCCATTTATAGGGATTCGTTGAATAATGTAAACAAAGTTAGCCTTTCCTCTGAGAGTGTGATATGCCATTTTGTTAAAGCTGAAGCATTTTGTGCCATTAGATGGTTCTTGGGCCCGAATGGATGTAGCACGTGGCTACCTCGTGCAAATTTAAATTGAAACCAATAAGTCACGATTTCTTCGAAAACTCACCGTTAATTTTGTGATATGCTCCAGTCCAGAACCACCAGGCTGGTCGATAAGCGAGGATCAAGATCGCCAAGAGCGTCGCTGCAATCACTTCGAACCAGGCGCTCGAAAGTAACATCTCGAAATTTTGCGCCGGAACTCCTGCGAAAACGCAGACAAAAATCATTACGATCTACCGAGAGTTGCAAAAAATATTTACAGATTATAGCGCTTGTTATAATGGCGAACACTTTGAACGAACTGAAATGGTATTAAAGCAAGTGACTCAGCTTATCAAAATTAGAAATTGCTTGTTAACGGTGATAACGCTGGTCTTTCCACTTACGTTGACTAAGCATTTCTTGCTCGATGGAACGAGCAACAACGTTAGAGTCCGTAAATACTTTCGCTACTATCATAATTCATAATCGTCGAACAGGTCGAATTATGCTTGACAGCCTGCACGCAAAACCGCTTAATCAATTTGTTTACATTGATCGTAAAAAACGAGAATTCTTATCGTCGCCAGACTGTCGCTTCTCGCTCGACAAACAGACTTTTATTATTTTCACAGACGTTCGTTATCACGGCGATATCGCACGTCGCTTACTATCCAGGAGCACGAGAAGGTACTTTCGCCGTCTTCAGGTCTCTCTTTTTAAGAGAAGGAACAAGCTATGTTTTTGTAAACGAATCACTGTCTGAAGCAAACAGCGTTGAGTCCACAGTTTCGGTGATTTAATGGTTTGATTGGCAACGGGAAATATAGTAGGAAGAGTTGGAGGTCCTTTCCAGGTACTTTCCAACAATAGTTGCATAATAATTGTTGATATAACCAGAGTGAATATGCGATTAAATCAAAATTTGTTCCTTTCGTTACTTAACTAATCTAGCCGTTCGGCGTTACCGTTTTGGTAAAAATGCAAGTACACGAAGGATCGACGTAAAAGTCATAAATCATAGATAGGTGGTTTCATCCAGAGCGCGGAGGAACACGTACAAAGCAGGAAATTGATAGAGGGCCGCTTCTTGTAGTTCGATTTGCGAGCGGAACGCGTGGTACGAGATGCAGAAGAAGCCAAGCGTGAGCGATAAATCGAACTACCGGTCGGGGGATGGGCAAAATTCTTATCTAGATAAAAGTGACGTATGACGAATAAAAGATAAACGGCCGTTCATCCGGTACCCGTTGAATTAAGAGTGGAATTCGCCTTGTGGAATTCAATATTTCCGAGGTCAAATTTAAACTATGTTTTCCTAATAACAAAATATTTTTGTAATAGGAGTAGTTAAAATTTTAGTGGACCTTTCAGGGATACTAGTCATCAGCCCTCTTCAGGATACAAAGAAATTCAGCCAGTAAAATGATCAATTTCTTACCTCGGTATTGGTCGGTAATACAATTATTTCGAATTGTTAATTTTTAATTTTAGCGTAGAATGTTATTCATAGAATATCATTGTATCCCGAGAAGGGCCGATAACTGGCTCTCACCACCAAAGGCAGATTCCTTTTTTTTTTTTTTTTAAGAGACCACGAGGGGATCAAGGCGATTATTAATCATTGATTGAAAACCGTTGAGCAAACGTCAAGAACGAGTCGTTGCACGTTGGTTTTATTCGTTATCTGTTATCCCAGTAAAGTTCGCCTCTGCCACAGATACAGGTACGCGTACGCGTACACAAAGGAACCGACAGAGAGAGCAGAGCCGCGGATAATGCGCGAAAAAATGACGGTGAGGTTGTTGCGTGCGTCCTCTGCATCTACTCGAGGTTGACTGACTGCCCCAGTGTTATTCATGGACCATGATTTCTTTTATTTGCAAAACGTCGATAACGCGTGTAGTCGCGATGACACCGCCTGCTCTCGCCGCGACTCGGTAATCGCGAGGCTGTTACACGCGCCGTGGAGAAATGCTCGGGTGCCTATTACATACTGCGATAGATCTAATTAGGGGCACCGCGTACCAAAGCGGTGGAAACGCGCGTGAAATTGCGAATCTCGGAAATCGAGACGCGATTTCAACTTTTTTTCAACAGAAGATTACAACTCAATTCGCGTTTAACATCTGTAACCGGTAGAACGATAGCCTGCTATTAAACCCAAATGAAATTTACCCGATAATAGTCGGCTATTACCTGAATTAAATTTACTTGGAACGTAAATCGATTTAAACGGCACACCCCGTATAGATGCGTACCGAGAAAAGACGGTAGAGATAACTACACGTATGCGGATAATTGTGTGCCAAGATAATGAAACGGCAGAGTGTCGCCGCCGTCTAGTCTAATAGCAAACAGAGATTAACCTCGGAAGCAAAACAAGGGAGACATTCGAAGTGTAGTGGTTACAGAGGTGAAACTGATTATGCCGTTACCGGTAGGATCTGGTACCTCTACTTTATCTCGGTATTTTACGGATGCCCTACCAGATAACATTATTCTCTTCGTGTACAGCGAGTGACGGAAGCCTTCCTACATCGGGTTAATTACTGCCGACGAACATCGGTATAAATATGAAAATACTTCGTTTACTTTTGATATTAAGTAAGACCATACGCAAATTTGTATTCCCCTCTAAAGAGGAACTTGAGTTGACAAAGTTGAATGCGTGTTATCTTAACAGCGATAAATTTTACGGTCAATTGAATGTTTACATTTAATGACACACAGTTTAATTCCGTTCTAAAATTAAGTATACGTAATCGTTATTTTTCTCGACGATATCGTTAGCTTCCAGATTTGTCTTCTTTTCTGTTCAATTCAGTCGAGAAAAATTCTATTCTCCGATTATAATGAACTTGATCTTTTATTTTATGTTTCCACTTTATCTCGGGCCACATTCAGGAATAAGTTAAAAACATAATTCTCGCGTTATCGAGATTGATTGTAGATGTAGTTATTATAGATTCTATTATAGATTAGATGTTAATTATCGTTAGCCGATACGCGGGTTGAATGATAAGCATTATATTCATGAATAGAAATTTTTGCCGACTAAATTGAATCTTCCGTAACCAAGAAAATGAAAAACCTTAACTGCGTGCCATTACAGCCGTTCGATACGCGCAGTTATTTCTCCCAGGCTAATCCATCGACTTGTTATTCGTTTTCCGCGATTCCCATGAACACCGATTTGCACGCCGTTTTCCTATCTGGGTATTTTATTATTAGCCACATTAATCTTGCCCTGTCCAGCGTGAGATCGCACGCATAATACAACTCGATAAAAGTAATAATTAAAAATACACCAGTGTATTTTCCTTTAGAAATGATGCCCGGTCTGCGTATATTGTTTGTTTCATGTCGACTATAAAATAACTTTAAATAACTGTACGGAATTTACGTGAACCTATTTGATCCCAGAAGGTGTTAAAACTGGTTACCGTTAACTACCATTAACATTTTGCTATATATATATATTTTTTTTTTTATTTAAGAGCAACGAGAGATGAGAAGAACTCCGACGATTAAATCTCTCACCAGGAACTAACTTCCCTTCCGCATTACATCCCACTCCTGCGAGCGTACTTTCATGCTTTGCTATGGTTTAAATTTTCTTTCGCCTTGCTACCAATACACACGCATAAACAAATGGCTTACGCTGCTAGCGTGGCTGTTAGACGAAAGTAACGGCACTTCGAAAATGCTGTAAATTTCACCGACGAAGAAACGAACAACGATCTACCAAAGATTCTTTACCCTCTACTGTACGAATTCTATTTTATCCACCAAAGTTACTCTTCGATTATCTATACGTTTATCGATTGATCGGTACTCACTCCAAATAACACGTATCTGCAAGGCTATCCGATATCCCCATAAGATACTAACGAATCCTAAAAAATTTCCACGGCGATATTTATAGGAATCGTTTTCATCGGGCACATTACGCAACAGAGGGTTAACTGTCCGTTCCCACGGTTCGGGGTGAACGGTTTGCCACTAGATACACGTGCTCGCGCGACGCGACACACGACTCGCGTTAAACGTTACAGACGTCCGTGTTACGTTCCGTTTATTTATTTCTCGGTAACGCGACGTCGCAGAAGATAGGCGTTGGAAGAAACGGATCGAACCCGGAAATACGAAAGATCGCGTCGATCTCGCGCGCTCGTGTCACTCAGGTGGCCAGGCGAACTCGACCGGTAAACAAAAACGAAGAAACGTTCTTGTACTTACGGAGGGTGAACGTAGTCTGAGGGACAGTTAAAAAGAGACACCGTGGCCGTCGTTGTCGCCGATGGTGATGGTGGCAATGGTAAATAACTGCGATGGTGTGGTGTGGTGGTGGTGGTGGTGGTGGTGGTGGTGGTGGCGATAGTGATGGTGATGGTGGTAGTGGTGGTGGTGGTGGTGGTTGATGATGACGGTAGAGGTGGTAGCACCGGCGGGTAAAGTCAACCGTGACCGATAAGAAAGAAAGGAAATTCGAGCGTGATATTCGAAATTCCAATCGGTTATTATGGTACGAGGTATTTTTAGAAATGCCCGTTTCTGTATTACTGTTACGGATGAACGAAGCGCGACTGTTGTTCACCGCGCTGGTGAAGAAGACAGCGTCGCAAACGAAAAGGAGAGACCGAGAGCCGAGGAGGAAAAGGAAAAACGCGAGAAGAGAGAGAGGATCAACCTCGAAGAGTCGTGTACTCGCCAATTTGCGAGCGAGCAGGTAAAGCCTATGCACGCCGTGACGGATGAGACGGAGCCAGACGAGGCGAAATGAGACGAAACGAAACGAGCATTAAATGCCATTAATCTATCTATTGTACAGCCGTTGGTAGATCTCTCGATTCGATTAATCGGGGTTGTCGCGAACAGGGCTCCGTGTGCTCCGTTTCTTTCGACTTTCGAGAGACGACAGGAAGGAGCGACAGGTCTGGAGCGAATGCCGCGAGAGCCGGGTCCGTCTCCGTTTCGTCGACCGCGATGCACGGAGACAAACTCTCTTATCTCCTCGTCCTCTGTTTACATGTCCCGTCTTTCCTCTGTGCCACGTTCTGTGGCCCAAGCAAGCAGTCCAATCGTGCGCGACGGAGGGGGCAGCTCTGGTGGGGACTTCCCAGCCCGGAACCAGAAGACACGCTCAACAGATGGCGCGATATAGCATTGCGGTTATGGTTGCGGTTCACCTGGCGAACAAACATCGATTTTAGTTGATGTGAAATTGAAATAACATTTCTCTAAAGAAATACGGAAGTTCATATTATCATAATGTTATTTGTATACGTACGCAACATCACGCTGTACCATGTATACACCGATAGAAATGTATTCATGCCCCACGGTTTTCGTTATTTAGATCGAAATAGACTGAAATACCGAAGTCGGATAAAATAGTCTGCACTTGTTCAGCTATTGAATATGAAATGCTAATATATTCAAGTAGCCGCACAACGTGCGAATATTTTTAAGCATTCGACTAGAATATAGAATAGCAATATATTCATCGTATCTAACATGGTTTGCAAGGGTCACGATCTTAGTCTTCGACTCTGTAATACATTCCATTCTAAGAGAAAAGTTGAAGGTCATAGAAATTCAAGGTAATCTACCGTCCTGAATTTCTGGCATCCTAACGAATAGAAACGATTGCAAAATAATTCATTACCGATCGAACTATGATGTATGCGCATTCAGACGTTTGGTACATGTGTTTCTGACACTCATACACGGCGAGACGAGACGGCAATGAACTGCAGCAAGCATCGCATAGAACAGGCTAGATCTAACCGAGAGAAATAATCTAGCTGCATCTATGACGCGGTATCAAGCGCCGGTTCAAACTTGTTTTCGATGGAATCGGAAGAATCCCCGGATACGAGATCTTACCGAGAGTCGAGTCAGAAGAGATGAAGATAAACGATAATTCGGAGGAATAAGTCGGAAGATAATTCGTTAGAAATCAAATCGTTACTCGTGATCTTGACGTTTAGAAGCGTGACTTCAAATTCCAATCCTTTAAGGCTACCAACGTTTAGGATTTTGAAAGTTGCATGGACAGTAGGATTTTGCGAGTCCAGTAAAATACGGGGAACCTAGGAAGAAATAACACTTTCAATATACTGATAAATGTGTTATCAAAAACCATGCTTTTTCTTTAATGGTAAATAATAATTAAAAGAGTAATGACTGTGGGAGCTCTTTAAATTATAAATATGCCCCGTACGAGACACTGTATATTTTATTTTTATGATCTATTTCCGTACAGAGTCGGGATTTTAATATAAAGTGGTCCTACAGCTATTCCTTGTTAATTTTGAATAATTAATATATTGTACGCACGGAATAAGCGTGTCCTCCGATGAAACTGTTCTCGCGAAAGTTTCCGATCCGGCAAAAGTTTGACCTCTCTGTCGGTGAACACACACACGCACACCGGTACTACACAAACACGGTCCCGCGGGTCCGTATGCTACACTCACGCGCATACACGCTTGCGCCTGGCGTATCGCTACACCGAAGATGATCGACCAAAGTTGACCAACCAGGAAGCGATCATGGACAACTGGTCACTCGCCGGAATTCTGTCCTTTGCGATTACACGTTTCTGTGGTCTGCTTTAAAATCGGAATCGTCCTCGGAACTCGTTTAATGCGATGCCGTTAAAGCAGGAATTTTCTCACCGTGGTTCTTTATTCGGTATCGAGCCGATCGAACGTGTACGATGAAACAACTTGTCGTTAGAAGCAGAGAATTAATTTAAATTCTTATTATTATCAAGGACATGTATGTTTTAGTAGGAATTCATTTCGAGCACACGTTTAGACAATTCCCCGACTTAATCGTCGAACCACGTGCTAGTAAAGACGAACGGCAAAACTTCTGTGAAGATGTCGATATTCGGATCAAGACTACGTCCGAGTCCTTCGATCACGACCATGCTAAGGATCACGCTGCTGAAGGATCCGTCTTGCTTGACTCGATGCTGAACCATCGCGGAAAACAACTCTGTCACGACCGTGCTTACGCTCACCTGTAAAAGTTTCAAGACTCGTCGAGGCTTCGAGGCGCTTCTAACAGTTGGATAATTACAGTGATGTTATCTTTAAGATGAGAATTAACGATCTCCCGCATCGCATTTTTAAAACCGTCCGGGTCGGGAGATGCTTGCGAGCTATGTTCCAAGATGTACTCCGCCGCCAGTTCGCCCTGAAAATAAAAGAAAGGAAGTAAGAATCGATAGTAATTAAAAAGGAAATAAAGATCATCGTTTCCGTACATACGTTACCCATTAATACAGAGCGGAAAACGTCCCTAAGATTTCGTTGACAGCGAGCGTTCAGTGATACTACCAAACCGCAATCGAGTATGACTAATCGCGGATAGCTTGGCAAGTAATCACGATCGATAAACCTCCCAAGCCATGCCCAAATTCTTCCAGTTGGCTCACAGTTTGTGTCAACTAGGATGTTACCAGGGTGTAAGTCGCAATGAATGAAATTATCTTTAAATACCTGTAATTCACGATCGATCGTTCCCGATCACTCTTAACATTTACGGTCTCTTTTATTAATCTTAATACTACGCTTAATGAAAAAATCGATCGAATGATCGCCTACCATTTTCAAGATCGTCCTGATTCCTATCTTAGCTAGTTTCTCTTGGAGCTTGGTATCGTCATACTCGAGATAATCGGAAATCGGTGTACCTTCGTGAAAGCTTTCCACGAGTATTTCACGTTGCGTGAAATTCGTGTAAGGATGTGGAAAAATGACGTCCTCCTTTCCGGCGAAATTTTTGGAAAATTTTAATAAGTTAGCCTCTTCAAGATTCATATCGACCTTTACGAAAGTACAAAAATGAATGGTTGAGAATCGATGATTAGGAAGTTAATTTAGAAAGTTACTTGATTTTCCATTATCTGCGAGAACTCGTCGATGCAGTCGGGAAGACTGAGCCAATGTAATTGCGGAACGATGTACGTTGCGCACTTACAAATCCCCTTCATGATGGACAGATCTCGCCTAAAATAAGCGAAACGAAAACGGTTAATAAAATATTCAAGGAAAAGAATGGAATCGCGACGTGACGTTATACTTTAGCTGGCCTTTAATTCCAGGATGTAGAATTTTAATCGCCACAGGTTGCAATTTCCTTTTGTACGCGTTGTCCTGTTGCATTTCACCGTCATCGTTCAACATTCTATCTGAAATTAATTTGCATTAATCTCAGCTTGGTCTAATCCTTTCGAACGAAGCGGCGACATTCGCGTTATTTACCGACGAAAGTGTTTATCCATCCGAGGTTGAAGTACTCGATAACTGTAAAAAGGTTTCAATTATTTTGTGTTACTTTTATACGGTTCAAAAATGTTTAGCTTTTATTATAGATTACGTAATTTCCGGTTGACTATTCTCCATTCTCCTCGTTCTTTGTCATGCTGTACCATGAACCGCTTTTTATGTTTACTGTTAAACCGTGCCTAGTATTCATGGAACATGAAAAAGGTGATATGCATCCTCTATATGTGTGACAAGGTTGCTGAATTAATTATTAGTTTCTCTTAGTATATGAAAAAGAGGAATTTAAAAATAGAGGATATCACGTATACACTATATATTGAGATTATTTTTTCCATATTCCATAAATATTATGAAATTGTTAATATACTACTACGTATCGTGCACGGTAGGTGTCTAAAATACTTCATAAAAAAAATGACTATTTTCATCGATCAGAAACTTCCGTCCATCCATCAGTCCGTCCGTCCGTCCGTCCGTCCATCTTACGACAGAAATAGGAGTGTATAGAGTTACACAAAAAGACTTTCTAATTTACTTTGCACGAACGTAGGTATTCGAGGCGTTCGCGTTACTTCGACTCGAGCATTCAGATCCACCCATGCCTTGTACACCTGCCGATCGGACACGAATCGATTGAAGAAAAACAACAAATGAAAAACAACGTGTCGGATCAAACAGATTCGCCCATGGTGCATCCTTATACCTGAGCGCAGCATCCCGATCCGATCGGTACTTTGTCCTCGAATTTCACGAATATATTCTTCCAATTTGAACCATACGTAGATTTCAGCAAATGCTTCGTATAACTCCACGAATGCGGTGAAACCGTACGCTGCAATCGCGAAAGCGTACGGCAAATATCCTCAGGAAACAGATCGTTTCGCGTGGCCGCCCACTGGCCGAATTTGACGAATATCGGGCCCAAATGTTCGATACCTAAAATTAGCGGTATCAAAACTAAAGTTTAAATAAAATTTCTAGAACTAACCAACAAATTAATAATGGTGCGAATCTGAAATTCAACACCATCTATATTTCTACGTTCAATATAAATTCTACGTAAATAATTACTTTTCCGTAAAATTTCCGGAAACACGTGTCCATGGGTGAAACGCGTGACGAAATATGCGATTGCCAATCCGGTTACAATGGATCCTATCACGAAAATTCGTGTCAGAATTAAAATAGCATTCTGGACTGCAGCGAAGAAACCTTCTTGCTGTGTGCTTTTTATCAAAGATTTGGTTGGATGCATATATGGTCGAAGATTAGGCTCGTAAGAGAGAATAAGGACAGCCTGAACGGCTCGTTTGGAACCCTCGAAATTGATGTGCCTCATTAACGTCCTGCAAAATCGAATCGGTGCCGCGTTCTTATGATTTCTCGTTTGCCAATTGTCCCGTCTATTTTGGCGAAATTTGCTTGACCGGAACACTCTCAAGAGGTTCGAATAAAATGCCATTGTTCATCGTACGCTGTTGCGATTTTGCCATACACGAGAAAGAATATGTCCTTCGTTACAACTCCATTAGGACAATGCACTTATTGCATGATCAAAATCGATTGGGAATCCAGTAACATCGTACGTGTTTAAAACTATTTTTTCGACCGTGCAGGTTCATTGTGAATAATTAGAATACAATTTACAATCATGTAATAAAATTACGCGAGTCTTTTACCTTATTATTAGGCCGTCATGCGATTACGATACGTTTTCAAATAAACTCCTGTACGTTTCCGCTTTCCCCATTTGGTAACACTGGGTAACACAGTTGGGTCGATCCTGTTCGTTCATGAGAATAGATAACTAGCAAATCGATATAGAAATTATTATAAGATCTCATGCGATTGGGGCATTCATGTTGCATTGAGAATAGAAAACGAAAGAACGGCATTTCGAGGAAACAAGCAGAAAAGAGAACTACATTCACTCGATATAGTAGATATAGATTTGTTCATGTTTACGTCTTTCTAACCAAAACTGTTGGTTAATTGTTCGTAATATTGTCGGTACACGATTAAAAAACGGATTTTACTGACGATTCGTCGTAATAATTTAAATACATCGTTACATGTCAGAAGTTATACGTATGCATGTATGTATTTATGTCATATTTCGAAATAAAATTAAAAAAATACTCTCTTATCGCGGACTTAAATCTTGACGATGAAGACTATGTTGTTATATTGCAGGAACTTCAGTTGAATATTTTATGATTAAAATTGGATTGTGGTAAGGCATTTCGTTCAACTATATTAGAAGGGATAAATAATGAATATCCGCAGCAGAAGAAAGAATACTCTCGTTAAAGAAACCAAGACTGAATAATCTGACATTACATGAAGCCTGAGATATGCATGGCTCTTGTATGACAATAGAAGTTTGATAGGATGCCCACCATAGCCAGTTCCTCTTTAACATATGAAATTCTCATGTACTTTAATTCCTTTTATTTTGGTATGTTTGCTGTTTGCGAATTGGTCATGGGATTCTTCAAGGCTGCAAATTTGCCTTCACCTGGCACGAGCAAAACATTGTTAGAGTTTGCAATTTTGTTCTTCCTTATAACCACGGAAGGTGCCAGAATTTATCTTGGAAGGAAAGGAAATTTGACAGAACACGGACTACCAATTCTTATCGGATTTATTTTAACTATACCTAGCTCGCTGGCAACATTGTACTTTTTAATTTGGCAAAATTATGTGCTGCGATTGGAAGTAATTCTTTGCAGCATACAACTAGTCCTCCTGGCATCTGAATTAGTTATTTCCGTCTTGTGCCTTATAGCTATTTATCGTCCTCCATCTCCCGAAGAGTGAGTAATGCTTTGAGTGCCTTCTATCATCTTTCCAAATATGTACAATTTTAATGTATACAATATATAAATGAAGAAAATAGAAGTAAAATAAAACTTGTTTTTCATTTTCATACCCTTTAAAGTATTCCTAGATACTAAATTAATGTTTATTTATTTTGGAAATTGATATGATCTGTAGCTATACTACTTAATTTAAGACCTGTTTCTTTTCTTATTAATGTCTTTTTTTTTAAAGTATGCAATTGTACATTGTATTTACAACTAGTATTTATAATAAAATAAATATTTCTTAAATAAATAATACATATTTCTAATTTGATCATGTTTAGTAGATATTATAAGTAAACATTTACGAATAAATGGTTGGATTATCGAGACTGTAAAGTACACGTAAAAACAAATGTTAAAACAACATTCTTAATACTTTATAGAAAATATTAATGGTTTAAAATCAAAAATACTTAATAAAATATGTATGCATTCAAAAAAGAAAACATACGAATTCTCGCAAAATTTGCAACTATACGTTCTAATTTTTTTATAATTAATCTTTTATACTATTTGCCGCTGCTCTGCGTCTTCTAATAGCACGTAATCGATTATTACAGTATATTCGTAAAAACACCGAACCAAATACTAATAATATGCCTATTACGCCGATAGCTGTTACACGATGATGATATATCAAACAGGATAACAGTATAGCCAAACCCTAAAAAAACAAATGACATTTTTTGAAACATACATTCTAATAGCACAGTCGTCTAAAAAACAAATCGTTACCTGCCGAAGAGTCATCATGATCACAAATGTCACTGGCCCAAATTTAGAAATTGTATAAAAAATATATAGCTGGCCGCTAGCTGAACAAATTGATATGAGTAAACAGTCCATGATGAATGCAGGGTACTATACAAAAATATTATAAGTGCACCATAAATGATTATTTTTGTAATTATTTCTATTCTATTAGACACAGCTTGACTCACCTTTGTCATAAAAGAAAGTATGAGAGGAAAACTCGACTGCTGTAATAAGGACATCGCGGTTAATAAACAGGAAAACATATTAACTACACACATCATTTGTACGCTCGTTGCGCCATATTCCACGAATAATGCATTCTGCCAGGTACTCGTAAAGCTATCTAATAGTAAGTACCCTCCTAGAAGAATAGTACCAGAGACAGTAGTAGCTCCATCTAAAAGTATTAAAGTAAAATCAACAACAAAAATAACAACGTTAACAAATCTAAATTTACGAAATAAGAAATTTTACCGTTTCTATACTCGGAATTATCTAACATAAACAATGTCATTCCAATGCAAATAAGTACAGCTGTAACATACTCATAGTACTCATATGTAGTATGCGAAATTATTTTTCCCATTATCATCACTGGAATTATTTTAGAAGCTTTTGCCAATACCTGTGTTGGAAAGCTAACAAATTTTAAAGCTTCATATTGACACCAACTGCTCATGATATTTGATAAAGAGCAAAATGCATATTTGTAAAGTGGTGCTTTATGTTGAGGCTGTCTTTGAACAATTAAATACAATCCTGACATCAGAAATGCAAGAATTCGATTTACAAACACTAAAAATTGAGAATCTTGGAAACGATCCTTGTTACCAGCAGCATTTACATATTCCTGAGGAAAAGTTTTGTGATATCTTAAAAACATTTAGTTACTAAAACAGTATTCAATCTAGCTGAATTATACCTGGGTCATTATTTTCTCTTGCAAATAACCCCATGTTAAAAAGCTAATTAGTAATCCAAAAAAACAATACAGAAGTAATAGAGCTTCTTGGAAAAAAGTACGCTGATTATGATTAGATGGTGTACTTGTATAAGAAGAGTCCAAAAGTCCTGTCTCGCAATGACCCACAAAGCATGAATGTACCAGCCTAGGAATGCATCCTTTACCTGCACAAAAACGATACACATAATTTCAGAAAAAAACTTGTAAATCTATTTAATCTTATTCATTTTTTTTATTTACCTCCCCTTTGAATATATTTGGTACGACGTACGTATTTATAGATAAGGCAACCTGGCAATAATACAGTAGCATAACTTAATAAATTTAAACATAATCTGATAATCCAATCATAAGAGGAAGACTTAAAAAATTGTTCTCCAGTGTTCACAAAAGATTTGATAACTTCGCTAACTCCAAATACCAGGCTCACTGAAAGTAGTAGCAATAAGCTACAAAAAATATTAATTTAGTGCATTGTATTAAAACCTAAAACCTATTAATGTACGCGTATAAAATGTCAAACAAGTTAGAATTAATTATACCATTTTTTGAAAGAAAATATAAATACTTAACGCTATTATTATTCGAACTTATAACTGAAACTCACCAAATTACAATATCGCTCACAAAATTTCGCATTGTCCTTATTGTAATTGAATGATCGTAAAATAAACAGTTATTAAATAATAAATCGTTTCATAACCTTGCCCTAACCACGTTAATACTTTGCGATTACATCCAGGAGTGCAAAAGTATAAAAATTGTATATCAACAATTTACAATTAACATTGTACTACATATCGTTGGTATATATTATAATAGACGATATTTAAAAAATCATAATTTCAATGATTTATAATATTTTGTTCGAAAACAAGACGTAATATTCATGCACGATCATCAATGAGAAGTACGATTTACGATGTTCTAATTGATCATTTATGAGCATCCAAAAAATGATTCATCAAATCATTTTTTGAAATCAATCCTGTCTTCCTACCGACTAATGTCAGATCCATATCTATTTACAGACATAACACGTGAGGTTCTGATACTGATTCTGTTCATTCAATTTTATGTATAATATTTCTTTTCTTTGTATTTTGTTCAATTCGTAAATTCAAAACTGTAAGTGTTATCACAGTTTTCAGATAAGTCGAATTGTTCTATTGTGTATAGTTACGAAAATATAACGAAATATATAAAACGTGTTGAATAATACAATTCAAATATTTAGCTTAACATTTAATTTAAATGAAAAGCAATGATGGTGATGCATTGTCATACTTTTATGTTTTGAGTTTCAAATACAATGCAATCAGACATTTAATTTATACCACGTAAATATGGTTATTTGCATTCTCGTACGCATAGACCTCTCGTACGTTGGTATTTCAAGATACATTAGAACTTTATCATGTAGCAAGTCTATGATAGACGTACTCTGTGATTCTATACCTGTACATGTGTGTGGAAACAAGGAAAGTGTATCAAAATTGGCTACATTTTGTAATTTACACGTTGTTTAACATTCAAAGTTGGGCTATCATGGCTTTAATAAGTAAGTCTGAATTTGTTATATAATAAGTGATAATAATCAGAAATAATTAAAGCGTATCTAAGAAACACCGGTAATTTGTCTCATTGTGTATTGCGTTACTTATTTGTCGGACAGGATTTATGTTACCCCTTCCCCAAAAGATAACAGAAAATGCGCGGGAATGCCAAAGGTTTAGGCGGGAAATGTAGCAAGTGCGGTCAAGTGCGATTAAGTGTGATGATTCGGTGTGATATTCGATTGAATGGCTACACAAACAGTAGAATAACGTGACTGTTTAAATATAATTGTTCTTCGATGTGTTCTTCTAATTTCGTATTCGTATTATAATATATCTAAATTTATTTACGCGTTATCCTTAGTTTTTGGTTAACTAGAACTCGTTAACACACTTCTCTCCAAGTGTCTATTAAAATTTTAGCTTGTCCTCGACCTAATATTTCGATTATTTTATTAAAAGAGACTGATAGTTCTATTTTGTTTATCGTGGTAAGTAACGCAATACGATTTTTAGGATATTTAAAATTATCAATGTTAAATTTTTAAAGGTAAACATTTGGTCGTACTAATAAAAAAAATGACTAATTCGCCTGTGAAGTTATACAAACGGCCATTTACAGTATGTATAGAGGGAAATATAGGAAGTGGAAAAACGACGTTCTTAAGTCATTTTAAGCAATTTAACAATACAACAGTTCTACAGGAACCAGTAGATCTTTGGCGAGACGTAGCTGGAACTAATTTACTAGTAAGAATTTATGAATTTAAATTTATACTAATGTGAGATAAAATATAGGTAATAAATATGTTTTAATATTATTTAGGAATTGATGTACTCAGATCCAAAACGTTATGCTTTCTTATTCCAATCCTATGTGCAATTAACAATGCTTCAACTTCACACATATAAAACTCCCTTGCCATACAAAATCATGGAAAGATCTGTGTATAGTGCAAGGTGTTTTATTGAAAATATGAAGCGCACAAACATGTTAACCAATGTAGAAATTTTAGTATTGGAAGATTGGTATGATTGGTGTATAAAAAGTGCTAATATAGAAACAGATTTAATAGGTAACACATATATTTATGCTTCTATAGCACAAGTACAAAGCAGTACTTGTTGGTATTAATCTCTGTCTTTATTTTAAAATAGTGTATATTAGAACATCTCCAGAAGTTGTATATCAGAGGATGAAAGCAAGAGCAAGAAAGGAAGAAAATTGTGTATCTTTAGAATATTTAAAGCAAATTCATGGCATCCACGACGATTGGCTTTATCATCAAACATTATTCAATATACCAGCGCCAATTTTAATTCTAGATGGGAACAAGAATCTTGAAGAAATGGTAAATGAATTTGAAAATTGTAAAAATCGGATTTTCGGCAAGAAAGATGTCGAAAAAAAAGAAGCAGAAAGTATAGTTACTCCGTTATCATCAAGACATTCTCTGACAGAGATTAAAACAGGTCCATCTCATTGACATATACAAAACATCTAATGTACCGGTAATTTTTTAATTTTTTTACATTAAATCATTGTACATATGTAATAAAGAGTATTGCATAATATTAATTGAAAGCAAACTTTAATTGTATATCTATATAAATGTACTTACATGTAGACATTAGCTGTAAGACTGATTGGAATTGGACTGTTAAGAAACGAAATTGTATATATTAGAATAAAACTATGTAGTAAATAAATTTTGAATGTAACACGAATTATAAATATAAAAAGATAAAAATGTATTTACATAATTATTGCATTAGTTTTTTAAGTTATGTATTACTGGAACATGCCATTATATTATGTATAATAGTTCTATATTAGTAAAACAAACGTAGACACGTTTTTCGAATACAATATCGTCGAGTAACATATGATTTCCATATGGTTTTGTAACATATATGTATATATAGATAAAAGATTCAAGCTGAACCCATATGAGCAGAGGCTAACCGTTCTGCACAGTCGTATTCTTGGCAAGTCCACAATTCGTTGATCAGACTTCCGAGTTTTGCATCCGTCGTGTTAGCTTGTTTCCAATCAAGAAATATTTGATAAACTACCTAAAAGGAAACAGTTAGACACGTGAAATTTATGAATACGCAAAGCATTCTATAATCACTGAATCGTAATTGAATTTACTTCACTTATTCCTCTGAATCTATAATTTTCTTCGAATTGTTCGATTTGACCATCCGAATATAATAGCCTCCTGGCAACGTCTCTCCAACCGCGTCCGATATGAGTTTTAATAATAAATATATCATCCAATGTAATTTCCTTAGTACAAGCACTTAATCGTTCCACCTCCACAGACATCTCTCGTATCTTCGATTTCGACCATGATTTTGTTGATTCGGTTGGAAATTGATTAACGTTGCAAATGTAACTAGTTCTCGCGCCAATTTTCACTCCATTCGAATTAATTATATTGTAATTCACAACGTTTGCCCCTTGTGCTGTAAAAAACAAATTAACGATTAAATATTAATCGCCCTAACACAATCGAAGGTCGAACGAATCAGCAACAATTGCAACGCACTTACGATACTTCGATTGTTTTGATTTCGTTTTTGTTTTCACGTTTGGCTTCTTATGCTGTTTCTCGTCGGTTGAGGAGGATTTTGTGTCGTTGAAGTCTTGTTCTGTTTTAGAGGAACAAGTATTTGTTGGTATCGCGTTATTCGACAAAGATTTGCTTTCCTCCGTCGACGTCACATCATTTTGTTCAAATTGAGGCGTTGGGTTTGATTTGGTCTTAGTTTTTGTGTTGCGATCATCCGGTTCTAAATTATGTGTGTAGCTTGTGGGTTCTTTTCGCGGAGGATCAGGTATCACATCAGTCGTTAGCATATGAAACCGACGCGATATTTCCGAAAATATTGGCATTTTTGTCCAAAATCCTTGTCGCTATAAAAAAAAATCCCTCCACATTACCTTCGTTCTTTTTCTCGTAAAAAAATTAAAAATTAATCATTTCAATTTTCAAGTTTCGCGAATGTAAAGATCAGGTTCCGATCCGTCTCTATAAATAACGTTATATTATTAATTTATTTATTCGATAGGTTTGGGATTTTTGACATCTTACAATCGTACGTAGTTTAATTCCTTGTATCGTGCCAATGCAAAGAGGAACAGAGCAATCGATGAAGATGTCCACCGTATCTTCACTCTATCATCCAGTATTCGTTTATACGCATGTTATGCACTGTATCAGACACTGCATTCTTTTTTTGTCAACCTGCGTACATATCAGAATTTTTCTTCACGATATGTGCCAGTGTTGCGATAAGAGGTTTTTCTCGAGATTTTTATTATACATTTAAGTAAACAAACGTTTCCTAATAACGAATACACTATGTATCTCACTGGCAACGCCTGAAGTATAAAAATTTATGCAAATCACGTATTAATCACGTGTTTCGTTGTCTATGAGGGGAAAAACAAAAAATTAATCGCAGATGAAACAAATTGTAATGCAGTTAATAAACTTTTTGTTTGCGCCACGATACTCATCGACCTCGCGAAATGATCCATCTGGGTTTTTCAGAAGTGAAACCGGTTCTACATTTGCGAGGACGAAACCACAAGTGTTATTTAATAAACATGTCGCATTCAAAACGGATCATCTTCAAGGCGAAAAATGCTTTGTTTCGTTTATCGTTATATCTTTTGCTCGAAAGTATTCGTGCCTACAAGACTTGATTACAACTAAACGCTTTCTATTTTCTACTGAAATATTCGAAGGAATCGTTATAGATTAATGGGATACATTCCATTATTTTCTTTTGTTTATCTACGAAAAGTACGAATGCAACAGGTTGCATGAATTAACTCGACTATGAGTCCTTTGTATTTGAAAATATACGATACAAAACTCTAATTATCATGCATTCAAACAGTCTAATTAGAATATTCATGCATACGTTACATCGGAGTATGTACTTGAAGAGAGAACGTATCCTAATAAGTAAATTTCCTGATTTTAAACGTGCGAATTCATTTCATGTCTAGACAGTGTAATAGAACTAGTCTTCGATTTCTATTTTTTTTGTTCTTATACAATACACCCACCGTATTTTTAGAACAAAATTTCACTCGTTCGTCGATTGACAATTATTTCATTTGTATTGCTCACAAGTAAAGTCATCCGACGATCAATGTGTTTATGTACATACTTTGATGTTAACCTCTCGACTATCACTGACATGCATCGTCTGCGATGGCTGTGATACTGATAATTGAATAGTCAGAACGTGACGTACAACGTATTTTCCGTAGTACAACCTACTGAAAAATTAAACGTCTCGATTGTCTTGATAATCAGTTTACATATTGTTGTACCCTCATTTTCCATTCCTGAATATTGTACATATATTACGAATATTACATTATTATCACACTTTTTTTTCTAAATTCGATGATTTTTAAGATAAAAAGGGGAAATTCGTAGAGTTTTGTAGAAATACATGATTAAAATCAATTAAAATATGAATCGCGGACAAGTTTTAAGAGACTATGAATTATCACAGGATACTGTAGAGAAATTAAAAGTAATTAAGGAAAAACTAAAAGAAAATATAATGCAGGCCGATCCAATATGGAATATTATAGTACAAAAGGTTGGTATTATCGGTAAAGATTCGATATCAGGTAAATAATATATAATGCATCATTTAGGAGGAACAAGAAGTATTCCTAAGCGAAGAAGATATCACAGATGAGAGTGACAAAGATGACAACATGTCACCCATGATATCAGATGATGCTAAGCTTCAATCTACTCAATTTTATTTTACACAAGTTGACATTAAGTTAGACAAAGATGTTAAGGAGGCATCAATACAAAAGTTTGATATCATAGAATATCTATATGAAGGATTAGAGCGATCAAATGGAAAATTAGATTTAAATCAGTTAGAAAACTTAGCAGATGAAGAACTTGTGGAAGTAGTTTGTAACTTAGAGAAAAAATTAAGCATATTGGGTACCTATAATCTTTGTTGTTCTATGAATAATATGACTTTGGAACAACGAATGAAATATATAGAAATTTGTCTTACTCACTTGTTATTACCAAAGGTGATGCTACTGAATAATTGTATTAAAATATTTGCACTGCAAGTGCAATTAATATCATTTAAGCACTGTTGTAGATAATTACCCTGGAAGAACCATCAAGGCTACTATTATCTGCTATCACAGAGTGTGTTCAGAAATTTCCAGATGATATTCAAAAATTCATTTTTATCCCTTTATTAAATATTGATTTAAAAGATGTAACAAGTGTCACTGCTATAGCAAATGCATTTGAATCTGAAAGAAACATTGTCCTTATTACGTGCGTGCTCAAAATATTGCTTATCAACATTGTAATGTGTCCCATTATATTACTAATTACTTTTTATCATTATTCATAGGGAATATTTATCATATGCACAGGAACTCAAGTCCTGGCATCTTCCCATTCTACACAATTTGACATCTGTTAAAACAGATATTGTTACAAATGATAAACTTATACAACTTTTGTCAATGAAAGCACTTGACTTTGCCAAGGACAAAAATTTCGGAAAACTTATACTATCGTTAATTAAAGTAAATACAAATTTTACAGACCAACAAAAGGATCTATTATGGGAAATAGCCAATATAAATCAAACATTATTCAAGAGACCCATACAAAATATTTTGAAAACTTTGTAATTTGTGCATGTGTGTATATTTTCAATAAAGTTTGTATTTTGATAATCGTGGAATACTTTTTTTCTTTTTTTAACACCTGAATCACATACAGTATATTATTTATATGCGAAAGAATTAATTATTATAATGTTATAGTTTGAATATTCCCGCGCATTCCTTTTGTATGTTTCATTTCTCTTTCATGTTATTAGCCACCTGGCGGTGAATTACCTGAACTA